CCCCCCCCCCCCCCCCCCCCTCCCCTCCCCCTCTCACTTATAATTTCAGTTTGAAATGTGATGTTTTTTCATTGCTTAATGTTTCTATGACACTTACTGCTATTACTTGTAGGTTAAAACGACTACTATTACTATTACTACAACTAATAATAGTGGGGAAACTACTGGTAAAGAACTCTGATTTGTAACATCTTGGATATTATTTTCATAGATTTGATTGTTTGCAAATGTGATATTTCTCGTTAGTTTGCTAGTTTAATGAATACCACAATACAAATGTAAAAAAACGTAACATGATGAAAGAAATGTAATGTCAAACAATATTCCATATATAATACTATTCTTTCAACACATTAGGACAACACATTGGTGGACAATGTTATAATTACTGATTAATAATTATTAATAGTTTATGTGTCCTCTCTGTATTCAGTCCAGTGTACATTTTCCAATGTTTTAATATGTTGACTGTACCATGTCTACACCATGCTGTTTTGCTTTTCTGATGTTGCACCGTGTCAGAAGAGTGAAGCATCTTACTGTGAGCAGGAGGCTTTTCTGCTGTAAAACACGCATCCTCCACATTTTAAACCTCAGAAAAAATGCCCAAGAGCCTAAACACTGCATCGCCTGTGTGTTTGTGTCAACGTGTATGTGTGAGTCTTCATTTGGACGGTGGGAAGGTCAGGTGAGGTGCAGGTAGAAAGACAGATGAGCTCATAATGCTGACCAGATGAAAGGGGGTCAGCATGTCTCTGTGGCAAAGCTAAGTGCTGCAGACTGTGACCCATGTAAGCTTTGGTTTTTACCTGGTTCGCTGGTTTCACCACCGTCACCTTCAGCAACCATCGACCTGCCTCCACCTACATGCAGTGAGCAAGAGAACAGGCATGTTAGTGACTCTGCCCACAACTCCATCTGTGTCTTATGAAAAGATAAAGCAATAAGGCAGAAACAGAAGTCATGTAAACACGAGAGGACAGATGACAGGTATTTGTCATTCAATTTGGTGTAGCTCTTTAAAACTGTCATAGAATTATGTTACTCTTAATAAATCCAAAATGTGTTGCAGTCCCTCAAATCACCAAATATGGTATTAAATGGTACTATGGTACTAAATTGTTCTCATAATACAACAATTCACCACAGCACCCCAAAAATGAAAGAAATGTTCACAGTATAACATCCGCCACATTTTTGGTCATGATCCCAAAATTAGTTTTTAAGCCCCAGATCTTAAATGTTGCAATAACACCCACCAAAACATTTAGCATCATCACAAATTGTATTGCTGTTAAAATAAAAAGTCTAAAATCTACAAATTTGTTGGAATGATCCCAAAAATGTGTTGTCATCATCCCAAAATTTGTCTTGGTATCCTGAAGTCCATAATTGTTATATTATGTCCCCAAAGGTTTTGTAGCACCCACATATCCAAGAATGTGTTATCATGATCCAATCATTTGTTATAATGCACCCAAATCCAAAGAAAATGTGTAATACCCCCCCACCCTCAATTTTGTTACCACTATCCTAAAAAGTGATTTGGTAATAATTCCCAAATTTGGTATAACTACCCCAAAAATTGTTCTCATAATCACAAATTATCACAAATCCCCCACTGCTCAAAAATTAAGGGAACACTTAATCATCACTGTATAACACCAAGTCAATTCAACTTGTGGGATATCAATCTAGATAGTTAGGAAGCGTAAGCAATTGTGAATCAATTTCACCTGCTTTGGTGCAAATGAAAGCGCAAGTAGATAGCAGTGGCATCAACAAGACAACCCCCAAAAAGGGAATTGTTTTGTAGGCGGTGGCCACAGACCATTTCTCTCTCCTTGTCCTTCATGGCTGATTTTCTCTAGTTTAGCATTTTGCTAGTGCCCTTGTCACTACTTGTAGCATTAGGCAGTACCTACAGTCCATTCAGGTTGCACAGGTAGTCCAGCTTCTACAGGATTGCACATCCATAAGAGCCGTAGCAAGAAGGTTTGCTGTCTCCCAACACAGTCAAGACCGTGGAGGAGATACCAGGAGACGGGCCATTACATGAGAACTGGACAGGGCCATAGAAGGGCAACAACCCATCAACAAGACCGGTATCTGCTCCTTTTTGCAAGGAGGAACTCAAGGAGCTATAGAAGCTACAACATTGTCAGAAACAGACTCCATGAGGGTGGCATGAGGGCCCGACGTCCTCTAGGACCTGTGCTCACAGCCAAGCACCATGCAGCTCGATTGGCATTTGCCAGAGTACGTCAGAATAGGTAGGTTCGCCATTGGCGGCCCGTTGTCTTCACAGATGAGAACAGGTTCACAATTTGCACATATGAGAAACGTGAAAGAGTCTGGAGACGCCATGGCTAATATTATTATTTGGCGGTGGGTCAGTGATGGTCTAGGGAGGCATATCCTTACAGGGTTGCATAAACCTCCACGTGCTAGCCAACCCTGACTGCTGTTCGGTACCAGGATGAAGTCCTCAGACCCATTGTCAGACCATGGCTGGTGCAGTGGGCCCTGGGTTCCTCATGTGGCCAGATTATGTATGAGGTTCCTGGATGACGAAGGCATTGATGCCATTGACTGGCTTTCACATTTCTCAGACCTCAATCCAATTGAGAACCTCTGGGACATTATATATCGGTGCAACCGAGCCGCCAAGTATAGCGCCACAGACTGTCCAGGAGCTCACTGATGCCCTCATCCAGGTCTGGGAGGAGATCCCCTAGAACAGCATGTGCCGTCTCATCAGTATGCTCAGACTTTGTCGGGAGTGCATACAGGCACGTGAGGGCCATACACACTGGGCCACATTATGAGTAAGTCTATGATTTCAATTTTTCACTTTGATTTTCCCTGGGATTTTGAATCCAGCCCTCAATAGGTTAATGCTTTTGGTTTCCATTTAGTGTTCTAATGTCATTTTGTTCTTCACAAATTACATGATGAAGATATCAATATATTAATGAAGATTTACAACTTGAATATTTCGTTCATTGAGATGTGTGACTTAACTGTTCCCTTAATTTTTTTGAGCAGTGGATCAATGCCTCCAAAATTGCTGGTTACAGCCTCAAAACAGCCTCAGAATTAGTTGACTCCCTCAAATCTGATAAGTTGTCAACTTTGTTGTCACAATCACACAATTTCTTGTAATGCACCCAATTCTAATAGTATATAGTAAATGTTGCTGTCATTAACCACAAATGTTAATGACTGTAAAATCTCAACATGTGATATAACACTCACCATTAATTGGTGTCATTATTCCAAGATTTGTTGTAGCACCCCCACAATCTAAATTGTTCAGCTCCAAAATCAGCAAATAAGAATTTCTTGGAGGTCAAATTTCTCTCAGATGATATTTGATGATTGTGGGGGCAATATTGGGCCTCATAACTAATTCCAGGTGGGCTTCTTTAAATACTTAAACTATAAAAAAGGAAAATGTATCCACAGAGCACATTTTACATTAATTTTGGGGCCCCATGCTGCTGCTTAACGTGTCCTTGTCCTGATCTGCCAACTGTGAAACATTACCGATTGAAATCGTTCATTTTGCTTTAAATCGCTTGATGTAATGAGCTGACTATCAAGTCAAGTCAGCACTATGATACCTAAAAATAGACTTATTCATTCATTATGTATTGCCCACAGGACGTTCTTCAAAAATAGAGAAACAGCAGACCTGCTCTCCATTTCTCCCACAGACACTTGCTGATAGTGTAGTTTGTCAGGACGTCTTCCTCGCAAGGTCATTGGCTGAGAGCAGAACTACAGGGATTTTACAATTTAGGATTTTTATTTTTTGTGAGAGATGACTAAATGCTCTCCACAGTTTGTTGGTTGGGCTTTACCCAAACAACTGTCCCTGTACATATTGAATTAAGAAAGAGTCTGCTTGTCTCATAGTCTCTTAGGTCATCTATTAATTAAGATGTTTGTGTTCTGTTGTTAGTTTCAGGCAGCAATTGTTCTGTATATAAGTATTTAAAACAGTCTTCAATACACAACTGTAATACTTTAATACATCCAATAATATATATATATATATATAATATATATATATATAATATATATCGTATATATATATAACTCCAATTCTCTCCATGCTCGTTTTAGTAAATGTATGCACACACACACACACACACACACACACACACACACACACACACACACACACACACACACACACACAATAGGGGTCACATACCGACAAAATCATTAACTACATCTTTGACCAGGTGTCCAACTATCGCATAGGCTACCGCCACCATCACCAGCGCTGCCATAACCAGGTAGAGAACCGCTTTGGGTAGCGGGATAGAGTCTCGTGCAGGTGTCCGGTAGTCTGTGTACAGCATGTCACTCTCGGAATAAGAGTACTGAAAAACGTGCTCCATGCCCGATGTGTGGTTGGAGTTGAGAGGCGGGTTACTTGCGCTCATAGCGCTGTCCGGCTGCAGAGCTGTCACCATGGTGGCCGTCACATCCTCCGCTTTGTCGATGTTTACCAAGCCTGTAGTTTTATTCATCAGAGGTAAAATCTGAGACAGAAAATAGCTCCAGTCCTTTATGGCACTTGTGTTACATAAAAACATTGTTTCTCTCGTGCAATCGCCACAAGGAGGTTTAAATTTGCAGGGTTACCAAAGCGCAAAAAAAATCGCTGAAGTGGCAACACAATGAGATACACCAGACTCTCCAAAATTGTCTTATTTCAAAGTAACAGATTGATTGTTAATTAAAATCCAACAGGTTCCCTCGGATGCCAAAGTGTCCGTCTGACAGGAGCTCATCAGCGCCTCTGAAAACTTACCCAGCTTTCACTGACGAAACGCACGGCGCCTCATTCATTGGAGGCTGTACGACGTTTTACGCACCACTAAAGGAATTTTGATTTATGTCCATAAGTGAAATAAAAACAATACGGTACAGTACAATAGTCTACAATGTCACCCAAGGCAAGACGCGTGCCAAAAAAAATGTGTCGTCAATTTCCCCCTGACCTTAAAAGCGCGTAAATCTCGGATGAAGGACCCAGGAATCTGTGACTGCGTCCCCGCGGCTGTCACATCCAGTGATGATGATAATCACACGTGAGAAACTGCAGGAGTCACGACGCGTGTCCAGTGCTGAAATGTGCGCCTGGTGGGAGAGCGTGGACACCGGGAGACACTTGATTGCCTTTCCCCGTCGACCTCACGTGAAACGCTGTTCCTCTGAAGCCTGAGGTGAGTTCAAGTCTTTTTTTCAGCCAGAGGCTGGCTCAACGATGAACAAATCAAACGATGACTGTTGATGTAATTTCCAATGAGCCCCAGTGGAGCCAGATGAATGAGATGGACTTTGTGGTCGGAACTTGCACAAAAGTTCAAACTATAGACTTAAGAACAATAGAAATGTGCACAATGTATGAAAAGGATGTGGAAAAAGTAAACTGTAAAAACAAAAAACAAAATGAAGCCAGAGACTGAATCTGAAATGTATTCAGCTTTGATGAAAAAAATATTTATCTGATCAATAAAGCAGTGGGGCCGCTCAAAAATAGACTGATTGGAAGGAAAATTAGTTATACTGACTTGACCGATATTTATGCAGTTATTTGTTATATGCTGCTGAAGAAAAAAAAAAAAACTCCCTCTGAGTCTGGAGCAATATTAGATATTTAACCCATTTCCTTAGGTAGGTCTTCAATAATTAACCCAAACAAAGATGACAACCAGAGGCTGGGCCGCCATCTTTGTTTGGATTAAAGAGTTAAGATAAACGTTGTGGAATTTGTTGTCTTCAAAACCCCCCCCCCCAAAAAACAATGTTCAGTGAAAAGTCTTACCTGTAGGTGGTGCTAGAGGAAAAGTCAGGGCATCACCAAGGCTGTTAGGATTCATCCTCTGGAGATCATGAATATATGTAGAAAATTGAATGGCAATCCATGCCGTAGTTGTTGAGATATTTTATTCTGAACTAAAATGGTGGTGACCTACATTGCCATCCGTAGAGCCTCGCCGCAGTACGTAATCATCTGTTACAGACAAAGTTGATTACTTCTGTGTAGCTGCAATGTTCAAGTGATACGCTGTGTATTAGGACAGTAGATCACAGTATACATGTCATTCACTTGTCTTTTTGATTCTGTTGTTAGGCAACTGCACAATTTTAAAATAGAGATTTGGTCATCTCACAACAGCAGAACAATGTTGTTGTCCACACAAAAAAAAGAAAAATTCCCTTTGAACAGAGGACAGCTGTTAAACTATGTGAACAAACGTGCTGTCAGTTATCTCTGTTGTATTCCCTGCACCTCTGTGGATCCAAAGACTGTTTCTCCAATCTTCCTCTTTTCCCGGGAGGACGAACTAGACTCAATTAAGATCACATCAGCCGTTCAAAGATCGGCTCAGAGGAAATATATTGGACTCACTGACACTTAAATCAATCATGGTGAGTCCAATGAGTCACTGCGGACGCCACCGTGGCCTTCAGAAGTTCAGCTGTCACAGCTGAAGAGGAAAGTTTTTTTAAGATTTTCTTATTCAATCAACAGTTTCAAAATGGAGGTCATTTTCTCTTAGCTTTACTTGGTTCACTGTGGAAAGCATATGTGTTAACAATGCAATATAGAATAAATTAAAACAATGGTCAACTCTAAATTATGTTCATATTTACCATGAATCAGGAACACATTACATTAAATGGATCCATCACTATGTGAGATTAGGGGATTGTGGTGCCATAAATTCCTGCTGTGATTGGTCGAGGCATGTCCGACTTGTATACGTAAATCCTGACGATCACATCTCGTGATCTGTCATGACGTAAGGTAATCAGGGAGGAGTGGGCAGAGACAAACCAACCATGGCGTCCAAAATGTCTCAGACCACTTCCTTGATGTTGTGAAACTTTAGGCAGGAGATACCAAAAAAAAAATAGAAAAATTGTCTAATTTCACAGTTTGTATGTTAGGCACTCCAGATACCCTAATGCAGGGGTCTCAAACTCAACTTACCTGGGGGCCGCTGGAGGTAGAGTCTGGGTGAGGCTGGGCCGCATCAAGTATTCCAAAAAAAAGTACAACTGATCCAATCTTCATTAATAACAGTTCAGAACATGAACGGTTCTTCAGAACATGAATGGGTTCTTCAGAGCGTGAACGTGTTCTTCAGAGCGTGAACGTGTTCTTCAGAGCATGAACGGTTCTCCAGAACATGAACGGGTTCTTCAGAGCATGAACGGTTCTTCGGAACATGAACGGGTTCTTCAGAGCATGAACGGTTCTTCAGAACATGAACAGGTTTTTCAGAACATGAACGGGTTCTTCAGAGCATGAACGGTTCTTCAGAACATGAACGGTTCTTCAGAACATAGGCTTCTCTTGCCTACTCCTTGCTACCAGAGACCTGGCAGTGCTTCCTCTCACACAGCTCAGCCACATTTGGCTTGAGGGAGGAAGCAGTTGAGACCCTCAGTATGGCTTGAAGATGCTCATCAGTAAGTTTGGACCTGTACTTTGACTTATTAAAGTTCATGGTTGAGAAGAGCTTTTCACACAGATATGTGCTCCCAAAAAGGCACATGGTCCGCTTGAACATCCTGGAAAGCTCAGGGAAGGTGGGGGGCAATTCTCTCAAAAACTGTCCAAGCTTGTCTGCTATTCCACTCACCTCCCTGAACTTGGCTTTGAGTTCAGAATTGCACTGCAGGTCAATGAGCTCCATTTGAAGCACAGGAGGGGCATCTTGCACATCAAAGGAGAAGGGGTCAGCAAAAATTTGAAAAGTGGCTCTGTGTGTCTTGAAGTCTGCAAACCTCTGATCAAATTCCTCCTGTAGGTTTACAATGGCATCAGCATACTTCTCACCACTGAATGGTGTGCCCGCACCCATGAGTGCCTTGCATGTTGGGAAATGGCAGAAGTTTGTCTGAGAGAGCTGGGCTTTCCATAACACAAGTTTTGTGGAGAATGCTCTGACGTTGTCATAGGCAGCACTGACAAGCTGCCCTTGGCCTTGTAACTTCTTGTTCAGTAGATTCAGCTCCTGTGTGATGTCAACAAGAAAAGCTAAGTCCATGAGCCATTTGGGATCACTTAGCACAGGAACAGCCATCCCATCCTTCTCCATGAAGGCTTTCACTTCTGCTCTCAACTCAAAGAACCTCTTCAAGGCGTTTCCCCTGCTGAGCCAACGTACCTCGGTGAAGTAGAGGACATCCTCATATGCTGACTCTATTTCCTCCAAAAAGGCGCGGAACTGCCGGTGCTTTAAGCCCTTGGATCTAATATGGTTGATGCATTTCACAACAACAGACATCACATTGTCAAACTTCAGGCATTTGCTGCAAAGGGCCTGCTGATGGATAATGCAGTGCAGAGCAATGGCCTCCTCCACACCCTCCTCTTCCAGTTTTCTTTGAACAAGTGCCACCAGTCCATTTTTCGTCCCCGTCATTGATGGTGCTCCGTCGGTTGTTATTCCAGCAAACCTCTTCCATGTTAAACCGGCATCCACAATGGCATCACACAGCTGGCGGAATATCTCCTGAGCGGTGGTCTGGCCATGCATTGGAATCACTGTGAGCAACTCCTCCATCACTTCAAAACTGTCATCAACTCCGCGGACATACATTGCGAGCTGCGCAGTGTCAGTGATGTCTGTGCTCTCATCAAGAGCAATTGGCTTTCTCCCGCAGTTGATCATATATGTTACCTGACAGGTCAGAAATGCGCTCTGCCACTGTGTTGGCTGAAAGGCTGATGTTGCTAACCTGACTCTTTTTTTCCGGACAGACTATACTTGCAGCCTGTAACATGCACATTTTTATGAACTCGCCTTCTTTGAATGGCTTTCCCGCCTTGGAGTGCCGTCGGAGTGCCCCGGTGCTCAACAAAAAAATATTCCGTCTCCCACTTTTCCTGGAATTGTCTGTGCTCTTCGCCAACTTTTCTCTTCACGGCAGGTTTTGAGAAAGACATGACTGGGACTGGGTGAGATATATTTTCCTTCCACTTGGTGTCACTCCTGAATCACGTTTCAACCAAGTGACGAGTTTCGCTAATTCACGTTGTAAATATAAAACGCCCACAACGACTCTCGCAACAACTCGGCAAAAAGGTGCGCGTGAGAGAAACGCGCGGGCCGCATTAACATTACACTTTTATGTTAGGTAGGGGGCCGCACAATATCGGCTCGCGGGCCGCAATTGGCCCGCGGGCCGCGAGTTTGAGACCCCTGCCTTAATGCATTTGCACAAGCACTGAAAAAGTGAGTTTTTTTTGTGATATGTCCCTATGAGGGATAATCCATGGTTAGGCAGTGTGTGAAATACAGAGAGTCTTGGGGGGTCTGAGACCCCTTGGTTGACACTTGAGACCCCCTGAGGCAAGTGTGCTGTGCGTATTCTTGTGCAGAGCGTAGTTGTGTAGGTGCGTGAGTGGCCTAGTTGTTAATGATATAAGCCTTAGTGATGTGTGTGTTTGTTTGTGTGTGTGTGTGTGTGTGTGTGTGTGTGTGTGTGTGTGAGATTCGCACACTTT